GAGAATGCTAACCTTGCTTGAGGCGTGGAGGACAGGAAGATGGGTGGGGAGGTGGCTATTGTTTGGAGGGAGAATCCCCCTCCCTACAGGAAGCCACGACCACGTGTGTCAGCAGGGAAAATGGCCGTGGATCCTGTTCGTCACTCGATGCGGAGTTCGCGAGCGGAAGCAAAATTTTGCAAATGGTGCTGTTCGTGACCCGAATTGGTCATGAACAGAAGCGTTCGTGACCCGAGGTACCACTGTATATACGGGTACTTTATTAACATATGTAGTCATGGATAAGCCGAACCCAATTTTTTTTGAGTATTTATGGACCTAAAATTCTCTGAGAGACAGCTTTGACATGAGTTAACCCTGCTTTCTCCAACTGGAAAGCAGCGGTGTGGGGCTCTACATAGGTAGAAATCAAGACTTGTTTCTGTGGCAATAAAAGGAGAGGCAGAGGGGGGGGAAAAACCTAACCTCCTGATGGTTCTTGTTATCCTGCATGCAAGAATACATCAGTTCACAAGAACCAGAAAGTCTGACCATATTTTATCCTTTTAAGACAAGACTGTCGGTCAAGAACTGGAGGGCCTAACCCTCGAATAGTGAATTCCCTGGGCTGTATCCATACAAGTTTATAAAAAAAATACTTAAATATGGTGAACTGAAGTCAATCCCACAATACATTACACTGATAACAACCTTTTTACCCAGGAAAGAAATCAGTGAGGGTAGAAAAGACTCCCTCCTCAAAAGTAATCAATACAAAACAAAGCTCATTTTCTTAACCTGTTATTATTTCATATTCCCAAAGTAAAAAGATAATCTTTTGTATAGTTTTAAACTCCTTCCCTTTCTGATATTCATCATATCTTATTATCAACCTGATAATTAAATTTTAAAAAATTCTGGAAAGCTTTGCATTGAAGAGAAAATGAATGAGTAAATTATCAGAGATCTGGAAATCCTCACGTAATCAAAATAGGGATGATTACTTATAGATTACGCTTACATCTTTTTAGACATGTCTAAATTACAGCTTTAGAAAGCTAAATGTTTTTCACATATAAATTAACTGGAATAATTTTGTTGTACCACATTGTATCATGCCACTTTTTTGTTGAAAATATTATACTGCTTGGTATTTGTAAGTGAAGGCATGCTGAAACAGGACATATAAAATGCAAAGAAGTATCAAATTCCTGTGCACTAGTTTTAATTGTCATGTTATTTATTCATTTAAGAACTATTAAGAGTTTCATCCTTTTAAGGATAAAATAGTACAGGAAATCAAATTAGAAAGATGTCCAGACAATACATATGTAGCTGTTTGAGTTAATTTATAGAGTCAGTCAAAGGCAGTTTTGAAAACTAAGGACTTCAAGGATCCATTAAATGCCAATTGAAAAGGAAAAAAAAGGATTTTTTTGGAAAAATTGTTCAAAGACGCATGCCCACTGCTGAGAAAGCCCATATATTGCTGTATGCCAATTTACTGATTTTAACGGTGAGCACATAAGAAGGGCCCCCAAATAAGTAGATCTTAGGTGTGGATAAAAATATCCTTCCAATAAACTTTTGCATGCACAAACATAACACACAGCATTTATTTCCTCACATATGAACTATTCTTTCCCAAATAATTATTTAAACCAATATGCATACGGAGATAATCTAATGCTTAATATCTCAACAGAAATACTGAAGCAAGGGAAGGGAGAGTTGAAAACATGAAATAGGGCAAGGGACACCATTAATGCATAACGCCTTATTGTACAGAAACTGTAGAAGCAACAAACACTATATTTAAGGAAGACTGGTTCCCACATCACAAACAATTGGGGAAAAAGGCAACATTTTCTGATTCTGAACTCCTGGTTCAGAGTATCGCTTTCCAGAGATCTCTGCTTGTTATTGCAAAGTATTACTGCAGTTTATCATCTTAGCAATCATGTTTACCTCTGGGGGAGTTGGGTGGCATATACATGTAATAATAAATAAATAAAGTTTATATCCAAAACTAAGATACATACTCTGAGTTGTAAGCAAATGGGAGAAAGTTTAACTCTTTCCCATGGGAACTTAAACTTGGAAACAGTGCCCAATAGGTTAGCATACACATAACATACACACAAAACCCTGAATTATATATAGGCGTGTGTGTGTCTATGCATTCGTATTCAAGCTGCTCCTTTAAACTTGATAGAGTTTTCAGCCTGGGTAGCCAAATTATATCATTTTGAAATTAGATAACTTTTTTCCCATGCCCAATAGGTTAGCATACACATAACATACACACAAAACCCTGAATTATATATAGGCGTGTGTGTGTCTATGCATTCGTATTCAAGCTGCTCCTTTAAACTTGATAGAGTTTTCAGCCTGGGTAGCCAAATTATATCATTTTGAAATTAGATAACTTTTTTCCCAAATCCTTATGTATACATTAGATCTCCTGGTAAAACTACAAAAAAGAGTATATGTACTCATGAACTTTACCTGTTTTTTAATTGCATAGTTATCTCCATCTTCAGCTTTCATCTTTTCAATCTTTTCTTCTTGTTGTTTTGCTTCTTTTTCATACATAACTTTTTCTTTTGCCAAGCTGCACACAAAAAATATAATTTGTTTAAATTATAAAAATACATGAAAACCTTCCTATCTGAAAAGTTTCAAGACAATAAAATGTCCAAATATTACAGCTACTCTAGGGTACCACTTACTTTATTTTCAAACATTCTATTATTAGTTGTGTATACTGTCTATCCTCGAGAAAGACTGGATATAAATCTAACAAATAAGGAATCCATCCATTAGAATAAAAACACAATTCATGCAAAACCTATCAGACAAGTTATTAAAGCTGCTAAAAATGCTATACATGGAAATGTATGAACAACTTTTTTTAACCCTATATGGTTATTTTCTTTGCTTATTGTTTATTTCTTATGTATACCATCCATAGTCACTTTGTTTGAGTTTGGCAGCCCTATAAATCTATTAAACAGACATCAAATTTATATTTTAGTTGTTCAGAACATGCTATCCCAATCTGAATTACATTAGTACAACTATTATTTCAGTTCTTTTCATACCAACGTCATATCATGTGTCATGTTGCCAAGTATTAAAAGTCCAATATACTGTTGAAACTGTCTTCGGAGGAAAAACTTCCACACTCACTCCAAAAATAAAAGGCATAGACCACCCTTCATTCCAAAAAGATCTTAATTTGACTTGCCCACTTGAGTGTCTGGATAAGGATATACCAAGTGAAATTAAATGAGATGAGCAGGAGGGCTGATGGTCAGTATCAAATCAGACTTAATGTTTGAGATTCAATATATTCTAAAAGCTTACAGGCTCAATTGAAAGAGGAAATGTACATCTTGGACAAGCTTTCTGATCTGATACTGACCCTGGATTTCCCAGGTGGTGGCAGCAAGGACCCTGTAGAACAATTACTGCAACCAATCCTGAGCTAACTAATTAGGCAACAGGTATCCATGCATTATTTATGTAATGACAACTGAAATGTATTTTATATAGAGTAGTTCTTAAAGAAAATCTAGAAGTGCAAAATGTGGCACCTAAGCTACTGATTCACAATAGTATGAACCCATTATCGAAAGAGAAGATCTGCACTGATTGCCAGGTGCTTTCCAGATAAAAATAAATGAGTTGGTTTAACCTTTGCAGCTCTAAACTAGCTTACGGTCTGGCTGTTGGAAGAACTTCCTGTTTCATTTATATCTACCTACACATTTGAATAAATACCATGGAACTACTTACTGCCTTTAAAAATAGGTTTCTTCATGAATTATGAAACAAAACTTTTTCTGGACTACAGGATCTTTTGATTCTATTTTAACAATTCACTAATGAGCAACTACATATATCTAATTTAAATTACTGCTTTTAAGGGGAGGGTATATTTTCCTAAGTATATCAACCTGTCATACCAAAACAACAACAAAAATTGGACAGGTTTGGAAGCAATTCCACCTCTGTGCTGGCTTTGATTCCAAATAAAGGTCTTCTGGATAAATTTTGTTACCATGTAAAGTGCTGAGCCCATGGGTACAAAATAAGCAGAAAGCAGCATCAGATCCAGAAAGTGCAGGAAGTAACTCAGAGATCTGGTTACCTCATTAACTAGTGTATTAGCTTTGCTTTAATTTTATGAAATTAAGTTTTACTCATTACGAAACTATTTTCTACTATCAATTTATTTTGAAGGTTTTTTTTTCTTTAATTACAATTTCTGGCTAGGCAGGGCACAATGGGCTAGGAGGGACTGCATGCATTTTGATCAGCTGCAGCGTGCTCAGCAGAACTGCTGGGCTTTGCAGTTTTATTTGCATGGATTTTGCCTATGCTCACCTATAGCATAACCATGTCAGCACAGCAAAAGTTTGTGAGTTGCAAATTAAATTGTTCACATTAACAGCATTTTTAAACAGTATAACATATTGTTTGTTACTAACGCCACATAAGCAAACAGGGGACAGGGGGCAGTACAAGGAGCAGGAAGGAAATGGCTACAATACTAATGCAGCAGCAACAATTTTTTTACTGGCTTCTGAGCCAAACACTTAGTGGAAATGCAACTTTAATCTCACTTGATTGCTTAACAGTACTGACCATCAATGTTTAACTTCACTTTTCAGTACTGATGTTTCAGCATTGTCAATGGAGTTTTAAATAATGTCTGGGTTACTTACATAAATGTTTATGCTCAAATAGAGTTTGCCTTTAGATGGTGTTTGCATATTGGTTTCTTTACTAAAAGAACATTTCTCCAACAAAAGCTTCTGTGCCTTCACACCTGTTGTCTCCAATTCTTTCTCTCTTTCTCTTTCTCTCTCTTTCTTTCTCGCCACCTTTCATTCAAAAGCTCTAGGTACTCCCTCCTCTTTTTCTCCACAAGGACACCCTTGTGAGGTAGACTGGGCTGAGTGCAAGTCCAAAGTCACCTAGTAAGCTTCTATGGCTGAAAGTAGACTACAACCGGCAACTCTCCAATCCCATTTCAACATCTCAATCACTACACCACATTGGCTCTAATAAGTCCTAAATATATCACAGTGACAAAAAGTGATTTTTTTGATGTTCAAATTCTCCTTCCCAATATATCTGAAATATATTTGTGGCAAATATGTACATTTTGCACACTAAGTCACAGAACTGAGTTGTAGGTGTTTTTGTTTTTTCCCCTGGATTGGCTCAATCATATCTACAAAGTTAAGCAGTTACAAGGGGACAGAAATACTTCATTAATGAAATGTAAATCTTTATAGTTTACATGAATAGGCTGTGTTCAGCTGTTAGAGCAGAAATCTAGACCAATCCATCCACAATTACACCACTTTGTAAAGAATATTTCTATCATATTTTAAAGTAAACACAGAATAATCACTAATTAATGTGTAATATTTCATTATTGTTCCACCTTAATGTATTTTCATTAATACAACTTATAGAAGTTTCATAATATTAATGTTCTCAGTGAATGCTCAGCATAAAACTACCATACATTTTTGAATCAATCAAGCATAGAAAAACTTTTGTTACTTAAACCTCAGTTGATGTAAATGCAAGTTAACTTATAAGTAAGTTTAAATCTCAATGACATAGTATTTGCTAAAACAAGAAGGATGTGTAATAAATTATTAGTTTTCAAGTAAGAGATCCACTCTTAGGCTATTACATCTATATTCAGAAAACGAAGATAGCATTTTTAGAAGTACTGAAGCCTCAAATCTGAAATCCAACTTAATTTTTTCTTCCCATAAGAATTATACATTTAATTCTAGAGCAGAATATATTCCATAGTTTGAGTTAGGTACATTATGTTCATTCCTGGCCTTCATGTATAAAATGCTTAAACATCCTCTCTATTTGCTTTCTGAAATCAGGTTTAGCAGTAACAGAGGAATCACCTTTGCTTGTATCACTATATCATCACAGGTCTCAATGTACTGGCAAAACACTGTGGATCAGGCTTCTATACATACAACTTATAGGTCACAAAGAGAACAATAATCACATAATATCATGCTGTACAACTATTTTTCTAGATCAAGATTTTTCTCACCTACAGAACTTCACATTTGAGGAGTTAACATAATGTATTTATATTTTTCCATACAAATTATACAAAAATAATATTAAAAATATTTTAAAAGGGAACATACTTGGGTAAATACTGACTCCTAACATTTCAACAGATTTTGGTCATTAAGTGAAAATAAAAAATGAATGAATTGCATTCATTGTAAAATAAAAGTATGAATGAGCATAATCAATGTAATACTGACACTATAAAAAAATATCAAAGCACCACAATAATCAACAGTGCTTTAATTCCCCCAAACCCCACCCCAGCAACTATTTCCACACTGTACAGTGTCTCTAGAAAGCATTCAGGAGACAAGCATTTCATGTTATAGTGTAGAGGCATCACATTCATCAATGGACTAGACTGACCTTGAAAATCACTACAGCTTTGGTTCGACACTTTTCAACAAAGTCACTACCTCCTCCTCTGAAACTCAAAAGGTAAGTGACCAACCTTCATTCTTTCCAATGTACCACTTGGGCAGACCCAGATATTGAGATGTATTTTAGAGAGATGAAAACTGAAATAAGAGTTCATGTAATTGTAAACAAGGTCACTGTTAGGTTTTTTAACTTGACATATTTTGGAAAAACCTGACACTATATGTACATATATTGCATTCTTTGTGAAAATTCACAATTGATGTTTCAGCTACAGTTAACCCAATTTTTCATTTCTGTTCTCATTTACCATGCATGAAGTGCCCTTAAGGCTTGCTGTAAAAAAATTAAGAACTGCTAGATTAATAAAAGCGTATATTAAATTATTTCCCTAATTTCTCCCAGAGTCTGATGCAATGCCATTTTAAAAATCCCATAACTATATCTGTCAATACAAACAACCCAAGGAGAGAGATTACCTGAGACTTGGATATGCTTTTCTTATTTGTAGAGGGATGAAGCTGAATATGCTGCAGTTTCAGACTCTGTGCCAATGACAGCTCTAAACTACAGCCAGTTTTATTTTTATACCAACACTATAAATCCAGCCATTTGCAATCCAGCTGCATGCTCATTAGCTGCGAACCGTAGCGGTTCAGCTCATTTCTGCTCATTCTACTAATCTCCTGTCTTTACTCCATTTATTTGCCACTTTTGCTGCTGCTCTGCCACAAAATACAACACTGCCCCTTCTAAGATTAATTGATCATCAATTTAATCCTAATTTGGACCAAGTCAGGTGGTAAATGGACCACTTTTGCTTGATTGTTAGTGAAATGTGTGCAAGCACATTGATAAATTTTGATTATTTATCAATTACCACCAAATGAAGTAAATCTATTGAATAAATTCTAGCCTGATTGCTATAATAGAGTTTGAAAATATTGCTATTGATAATGATTCTCGCTAATAGTCTTTTCCGACTGCAGTTGCTGAGTTGTCGGCACGACAACAAAGAATTCATTTTTCATAACATCAGCTGCGTATGCCTCAGCAATCCTTCATTAATCAGTTACATTATGGGGCCGCTCCTCCGTAATGTGT